TTGTATTACTTTTAATTACGCTTTTTATATTTTGGCAGAAATATCTTGTGCAGTAGTTGGTAGATCACGTTTTGTGTAACTTTTTAGTATTCTACATGGTTATAGCTTGCTAATCTATTCCATGTATTTTGCCACTTTCAAAGCATAATCAGAAAATCATTATTTCTCGTACACTCGTAAATTATTGCTAACACAAGGTATTTGTTCAATTTTTTACAATCACGCTATTATAACTGCTTGCAATATATAGGACAATTCAATTTCTACAAAAATTATTTGTATAGTAGTATTTTCTTGTCGAAAACAATTGAATAGTCCTGTATATTTCAATTTAAAAAGTGTAACTCATGGTACAAAATGAGAGCATCTATATATATATATATATATATGTATGTATGTATGTATATCATTGTTGGACAATAAATCGCAAAATAAGATGAAATAAAAAGAAAGAAATAGAAAAAGTGGCATTGCTGTTTAATTTAGGAATAAGGACAAATCATAATTTAGAGAATTTTTTTTCAATAACAAGTTTGAGTAATCTTTCTTGCCTGAGCGTTTTGTGCTATTTCGCGCGAGCTTTTAGCGTTACCCTCTGATCCGTTTAACACTCTCTCTGCCTCTTTAGCTTGTATGTTAGCATTATCAATCAATTCTTCAATAATTTGAATGTCCTCCAAAGCATCCTGAGCCTTAACGCGTTCGCGTTGTACCTCAGCGTCAAATTCTAAAACAAAATATAAAAATTGAAATAAAGATAAAATTTTTTGCGGGCGGTTTTTCTAATAAAACAATTTTATACGAAAACTTTCTTTTCATAAATCATACCTCCTAATTTCTTCAAGGTTTCCTGAGCTTCTTTCAGGGTCTGATCACCACGTTTAACGGCGTCATTCGCCGTTTCGTTGGCTTCGTCTAACTCAGCTAGAAGCTCGGCCGTGGCAGCTTGTTGATCTTGAGCTCGATCTAGAAGTTCTTCGCTGTTTTTAACTTTTTCGGACATTTCTTTGATGAAATTCTCGTTTTGTTCCAATAAGAGTTGTGCTTGTTCTTTTATCCTTACACCCTTGAAAGAAACATACATTATTTAAATTTTTAATTAAAGTATAAATATAAATATAAATATGTATATATATATATATTTATTTATATTAATTTTGTATATAATTAGAGAGTATTTCGATTTCTATTTATTTATTTATAGTATTATAATTACCTCATTGCTGACAGTTTCTACTTGTTGTCGCAATTGCTCGAGATCGACTGTAGGAAGTGTTAGATCAAGAATTAGCAAATCTAACGCTTCTTGAGAGACAGCAGAGGATTTAGCAGCTGCGATAGCAGTAAGATTTTTCACTTCGTCTATACGATCCTCCAATTGTGCCAACTTGTTCTCCAAACCCCTAATTTCATCCCTGTACAAGATTGTTTTGCACCTCAGATATTGCGGGTTTATGAAAGATTGCAAATATTAAATAGTAAACTTATTACATTAGAAAAGAAATAAAATGAATTATATATTAAAATAATAGAATTATATGTTAGAGATTATTATTATAGATAAAATTATTAATTATATGTACATTAAAAATCAAATATAAATCAATATAATCGAGAATCAAAAGAAAAAAGAAGAAAGTTTTGCTTACGTTATATTAGAATATTGTGATATCGCTTGCTTTGCGAGATTGTAAGCTTCTAATGTCGTATTTCGCGCTTGTTCCGCTAGCATACGGAGTTTTTTAGCTTCGTTGGTATTTCTAAAAGAAGATGCATTCTCTCACAATATTAGATAATAATAATCAATACAATGTAACAATAATCATCAAAAATTAAAATTATATGCATATAATTTAAAGAAATTTGTTTACTGATAATTTAGTATCAATTTTTTACTTTCTATCTTTAAAGAAAAGTCCTTATAAAGAATTTAATTATTACTAATATATGTAATAAAATAGAAATTTATGTAAAATACATACACATCAGCAAGTAGGCGAGCTTCCTGTGCAATAGATGTCATTTGCTGATTTTGCTGGCCGACTTGTTCGGCACGCAATTTAGCAGCAGTCAAAGCGCTAGCTCCATCCGTAGCCAAGTAATCTTCCGCTTCCTGCCATTTATTATAAAATTACATACATACACACACACATATATCCTTAATTGAATAATTAATACATAGTTATTTATAAAATTCTTTTAAAAACTCTATATCTTTTTTTATATAGTAAAAGAAGAAAAAATAAAACAGATATATATATAAAAAGTTTTTATAATTCATATGTTAGCAAATATATTATTAATTTATGTTGTTGCAAATA